AGAAATTTAAAGCATCAGTAAAAAATTACTTTTTGAATATGGGAACAAAAAAACATATATAAGTCACTTTGGCATATAAGTCGCAGGAATGACAAATCTATGCAAAAAACTGACTTGTATGCCGGAAAATACAGTGCGTATATACACATATGTATATATATGTATATATTTTTTATTTATGCATATGTGTATATACGCACTGTATTTTCCGGCATACAAGTCAGTTTTTTGCATAGATTTGTCATTCCTGCGACTTATATGCCAAAGTGACTTATATATGTTTTTTTGTTCCCATATTCAAAAAGTAATTTTTTACTGATGCTTTAAATTTCTAAGAACTGCAACAGCGAGTCCTCCCATGTGCGCTCGCTTTACTCAGCTGGTGCAGGCGGAGGAACAATGGAGAGCTAGCGGTTCCAGCTGCGATGGACGGATGGTGCTGCGCCTCCCAGTTGAAATGAAGCCATTTTAACCATTAAATAAATGCATAATAAACATTATGGGTCAGCGGTGACGCTTAATAAATGCGACTTGTGCGCTGAAGCGACTAATACTCCAGAGTGACTTATAAAATATGGTAAATATATGCATACATATTACTGGTGATATTATTAAAATATTATTAGATGACATATTGTCATCAAACTGGTTGGCCCACTATGTGAGTAAGCCACTTGTTGGACCGAGTTTGTTGTGGCTCTTTGGACTGATGAAGTCCTTTGGATGAAAGATTAAACATTTAAAAAAAAAAAAAAAAACATCCAGAGACCTGATTTTTTAAACTTTTTTTGTTGTTGTTTTTTAACCTGGATTATGAGCATAAACAACATATCACAATAAAATGCCATGGTAGAAATATTGTTAATTGAGAACACAGAAATAGTAAAAACAACATTATTCCGTCCAGGTCGAACTAATCCGCTTACGTTCTCTTCAATGAGGTAAAAAAAACAACCCTCCATCAAACCAGAGAAAGAATGATTGCGTCATCAGAAACAGGTAACGAAGGACAAAATACTTTATTTCAGGGTTTTTTATGTTTACAAATAGTTATGTACAGAAACTCTTTGTATAAATTTTTTATTGTAATGGGAATATACAAACGGTTTTCTAACATTGTCATTGTGATGGAGCTTCTTGGTTTATTTCCATGAGTTTTCTCACAGAAGTTGGACAAATCTGAAATATTAAGATCAAGAAGCTTTGATTTTGTGCGTGACTATTGTAAAAATAAAAGGGTTATGGTCAAAACGTGGAACTTAAATAGGCCCAATATTTTTATTGATAAAGAAGAATCAAACAATGCTCAGATGGATAATAAAGGCTGTGTGCAGCGATACGAGCCAACTCGGCTGAGAGGAATGCATGAAATGTGTGGAACATACTCGAGCTTTATTCTGGAACAAAGTGTGATGCAGAGAGGCGTAAAATAAAAATAGACTGAATATCTGAACAACATGCAAGAGACACGAGCCCAGTGCCAGGAAAAAAAAATTATACATAAAACAGACAAAACAGCATGTGGTCTCGTACATGTCTAAACAAACATAAAAAATAAACTAATTAAAGTGATAGATTCAACATTTTGAGCAGAACTGCTACTTTTTATCCAGTGTTAAGGCACATATTGCTTTTAATAAACAGAATTATAAATGATCTTTGGTAAATGTTATGATTTTTACAAAAAAAAGAAACAAATACAGCTAACTTTCATTGGTGCTGCAGCTCAATGAAAACTGAAGCCTCTTTCTAATTTCCCTTAAACAAACAGGACATTGAACACATCACACACTACAAATTGAAATGGCAGATTTGATATGATGCTTTTAAAGTGCAAATGTACACGTTAAAGCCACATGTATTTACATTTGGAGACTTTTCAGCACTGAGGATTTGATTTTCAGCATAAAACTGGCAGAAGGAAACGAGGACTAATTTAAGCTAAACTCCTGCCGGGATTTTTAAACCTATTAAAAAAAAACCTTCAAGTAGGTCTGCAGGTAAGAAGTCAACCTTCAGTGTAATGTGCTTGGAGCAGATAAACATCTCAAGATTTACGCTAATTTATTTTATTTTATACAAACTCACAATCTAAACGATTTGGAAAGTTATGTTAGCCTAGCTCAGAATCTGACCAGTTAAATAAAACCATGAATATTATTATTTAGTGGATTTACACCAATTATAGACCAGATTATTGTGGGGGGGTTTATTGGTTGTTAGGTGAATTTAAAGCTAATAAATTTATTTTATTTTTTTTAAATAAATAAATAAATAAATAATTAAATTTGCTGATTGGCATGTTTATTTCAAACAGCGCTAGCTAGCTAGCGGCCACGTTTTCAGCTGTATCTCAAATTTGCCACTTTTTGTGTGTCTACAGAGACGAGGTTAACTTCCTGGTTATGATCAAGTTTGTTTTTATGCTTAAATCCATTCTCCTCCACAGCCAGAACTCAGCTCTGAGGTAACAACACACCCGACTTAACTGTGATCCAGCTGCAGCATGAAAAACTACAAGATTAGCTTATTGTTGGGCTGTTACGAGGCTAAATGTTAGCGAAACAAGCAAATCAAAACATTAGAGCAACATGTTCTCTAAACACTTCAACAGGTTTATTGAGAGGCAGACAAAAGTAGGAACAAAGTCTTTACTGCAGCTATGACAACTTTTCATGCGGCGGGCAGCCATATTGGATTTTGAGGTCCGGGACCGTTCTGACTTGTGGAGTCATTCCAAATGATTTTTACGATTTGGAACTCAAAGATTCTGACTTCAGAGTGCAAACGCACCATAAACTTCTAGACTAAGGGTCTAACTTCATCATCACATTTACTTTTAAACGACTGCATGGACCGAATAAAGCAGAGGAAAACAAATCAGCTCTGTAGGATTAGAGGTGACAAAACGCAGCTCTTCATCTTTGGCTCTTAACACTTCATATGTTAAAGCAGATTTTCAACAAACAAAGCTGGGCCTTGGGGCAGGATTTTGAGTTTTTACTGTGTGATATTGCACTTACATCATGCATGCAGAAGTGTCCATCCATCTTAGTGCGGACATTTATTTTATTTAAATAAAATCCTAACCTTTTGCTGATGGAAACATTCAAACCTAGAGTAAATCCTTAAACAGCCTAAAACTAAACTTTGTCTTCACAGACATAAAGACTGAAATTATAACTTTGTTATGCAGTGTTACAATGCATAATTATATTTAAAACATGCATTTTCAGAAAGACTGAACCAAAATAACAAAGCAATAACAAAAAATAATCCACGATTTGCATCAACTTAAAAAAATTAGTTAAAAGCCCGAACATGCCCAAACCTGGCATGTCAGCAGGGACTGAAATCATCTAAAACTTTGTCTCCTCAGGAGTAAAAGCTGTGATCTGTGAGGCCACAGAGGTGTCTGAGCCGATTCTGATGCTACAACAGGCCGAGCTGAAAGAACCAGCAGCTCCTTGTAGCACAGAAACTTTAAATAAATAAAAGTACTGCATTAAGTGTGCAGAGGAATGTTTCTTTACTTTTCTGCTTCTCATTGAAACTTGGTCAATTACTGAGATGTCAAATAAAAAATAAAAAAGAGGCGCCGGTTTGTTCCAGTTCTTGTTTCCTAATATTTTAAAATATAATCACTTAGCTTTAAATTGAAAATATAAAGTACCTTTCTGTATATTTTATAAAAAAAATGGAATAAAGTTAGTTTAAAAACACTGTTGTGCAAATAGAGTGACATCATAAGGCAGTGTGTAGCGACTGTTCTCGCCCCCCCTCAGTCCTGTGAGCTGTTGCACGATCAGACCCACGTCCTTCCTCGGAGCTCCGGGAGTATTTGACGTACTGCGAGGCTCCGTCGGGGGGCAGGTTCAGCTGAATGCTGTCTGCCTGTGAGGCCAGAGGCGTGGAAGTAATCCTGCTGAAAAACCTCTGAGCTGACAGCTTGAAAGTTTCAGATTCTTTGGTGGAAGGAGGTGGCGACTCCCTTGAGAGCGGAGGATCCTTTTTGGTGTATGGGAGCGTGTTCAGCTCTGAAGGGGCTGCACTGCAGAGATCTGTGAGGTCTTTCTCAGTGTGTGTGGGTGATATTCTCTGACCCCTTTCTTCATTTGTTTGTACAGCAGGAGCCTGTCTGGCCTGCGGTGCTTTGGAGCCAGAGGTGCTCTTCTGGTCTTTATTAACGCAACTCTTTGGTGAAAGCTTGCTGAGGGACAGGAAGGGAGGCTCGGGACTGAGCGGCGCCCCCGTCCTGACCCTGCTCAGACTGAGGATGTTCCTGCGGGTGTCGGCGGGGAGCTTATCCAACTGCCGTCCAACTTGCACTGGGTTTGGAAACAGAGTGCCTTGACACGCCCTGTACAAATATCTGGAACATAAAACAGAGGCAGACGTTTCTTCAACATCGCTCCAAAATTCATGTGAAGCTCCTGGAATTTACATAAAAGACATCTGGTATCTATAAGACATACTTCACAGCATAAATCAGAAATATTGGAGAGGCTGGCTATGCTTTCTCCTGTGTGCAAATCAAAGAGTCAAAAGTACCGAGGCAGCAGGGCGGCCACAGGAGTAACGGTGAGCAGCAGGAAGAAGAGAGGCTCCTGCAGCAGCCTCTGCATGGTCCAGTAGGGGTTGGAGGGTGAGTAGCAGGTGGGGCAGGAGGAGTTGTAGCACAGAGCCACAGTGAGGAATAAAGCTACACTGAAGGCGATTGACAGCCAGTTCATCCAGGTCTATGGGGGACGAGAACAAAAGGTTTACACATAATGAACAAGGTAACATTTATTTATCCAGTTGAAGTTAACAAGCCTTCATTTGGTCACAAACATATCAAAAATAATTAATTCAAAACCTTTACCTATCATTATAATAAATACAGTTCAGTTGGACAATTCAAACAAGACCACTGTAACATTTCATACTGCTGTGCTATTATTTTGAAGCATCAGATTTAGTTTTTCTATTTTATTTTCCCATTAAAGGAAGACATTTTAAACAGATGCTGGATCAGAATGAGAACTGTAGAAACAAAGTGGATCTATGCATTTTTTATGGTTGTATTTTAAAAAAGGCTGCCACGATTGAGAGTAAAACGTCGAGCAGGAAGACACAAACAAGCCCCAAAACTGAGATCTTAAGATTAGAGCCCGATCGATATATCGGCAGGGGCGATAATTTAGGCTGATTAAGACATCTGGGGACCTATTGGTATCGGTGATAATTGTCCCATTATGCAACGATATAAAAACTTCTAATTTTCACCCCTAAAATGCGGTGAACCAGCCGTAAATGTTCAATGTATTCAGCAGAAGGCGCATGAAGACTACTTTAAAGTCATTGCTGTTCACTTAAGTTTCACTTTCAGCACAGATGAAGCAGGGAGCAATACTGTGTAGCATATTTTGCTGAACAGAACATGGTAAGTTTATTTGAATTGATCTGTAAAACAACTCAACAATAATGAATTCTCTTCAATCCTCCAACCTGCTTGATATTATTTGTGACTCTCAAGTTAGCAAGCTAATGTTTAAAAAAACCTAGCATAGTCTATTGCCTTGTAAAATTTTATCCAGAACAATAAAACTAATGTAGCGGTAAGTATATATCAGTGTTAGTAACATTATCTTTGTTGTCCTCAATGAAATGCATTGTTTGTTTGAAATCTTTATTCTCTGCAAAAAAAAAAACAAAAAAAAAAACACAGCTGCGGTCAATACTACTTAGACCTTCACCATACGTGACTAGACTGTTTAAACAATGAACAGGGAAGGATGTTTCTTTGTTTAATTTATATTGGTAAGTGCTGTATGTTGTCATCATTATATGTTCCCATACAATGACGAAATTGGTTCTCTGCATTTAACCCATCACACCTGATATGCACACAGGTGAAGCAGAGGGCAGCTATGTAGGTGTCCGGGGAGCAATTACGGATTGGCTGTCTTGCTCAGAGACACCCCGACATGTGGGCATGGCAGGGAGTTGAACCTGTGACTTTCTGAGCCCAGGTTGGCTGCCCTACCTCTACCCCATCTTGGCCCCAGTTATGAATTATGAAACACACTTGAATTTATGGTGAATAGTGGAGGACAGAAAATGTGAACGCACGTTAGGAAGACTGTTTTTATGACCAGCGCACCACCTGTAAACCTACTGTGGCACTAAGTATAGCATGGCTCTGATTTGCTTAGCTTTACAGTTCTAACAGTTGCACTAAATAAACAAGCCCCGCTCCACTCGCTGTCTTCTTAGATTCTTGAGGGTGGAAAAAGCTCAAACATTTTCAGCCATTATATTGGTTATCGGTGATGCCCTCCCCCTCCCAATATCGGTATCGGCGATAGACAAAAAATTTCCACACCGGTTGGGCTTACTTAATATGTCCTTTAATTACATGCTCATGAAATTATGTCTACAACTTTTAGCTGTTTTTATTTGTTTAAAAAAAATTCATGTCACCTGGGTAAAGATTATATTTGCCTCAGAAAAAGTGTAAAATTTTTTCCAAAAAAGTGTTTTTCTTTTCATAAACAAATTCCATCTTTGTCTTAAAAAAGGATACTTTTTTTACTGCCATGTTTTTTTTTTTTACTTGCCAAAAAACATCCATCTTTTCCAATTTGAAGAACCAAAATGGGCATAAAAGGCTAAGATGGTGTAGGGGAAGGCAGCCGACAGGACCTGAAGGTCTCGGGTTTGATCTCCGGTCATTGCACATCTCGTGGTGTCTCTGAGCAGGACACATTATCCCCAGTTGCTCCCCGGGCGCTTTCCACAGCTGCCCACTGCTCCACCTGGTGGTGGATGGGTTAAATGCAGAGAGCCAATTTCACCATTGTATGGGAACATACAATGATGACAACACATAACACATTATTATTATAACTTTCTAAATACAGGAACTGATTTGATTTCCAACAAAAACATAAACTTGTTCTACATTATTGTTTCTTTACTTGTCCCACAAACTAAATAGCAAATTCATCTGACGCCACACATTAGTCTGAGAAAACTCAGCATTTACTCCATCTTCTTACATTGTTTGGGGCTGAAAGTGTTTCACTCTTAGGATAAAAACAAAGTCACTCAATGACTACAAAAAGCGAGCATGCAGACCTTTTATTTTTATTTCTTTATTTTTTACAGAGGAACTTTTGTGTGTGCTTGGAGCCGACTGTCTGATCTGACAGTGTAAATGTATAATGGATCAGTGGACTGCACTCCTGAACAAAAGCAGTCATTAATTACAGTTTAAACTTTTTGTATAAAGAGGAGGCAGCTGTGCTTTCACCTAAAATACCTCACAGATGGTGAGAACAATAAAAACCTGCCAGCTGATAGTCAGTTCTCCTCTCTATGAGCACTTCTCTTGATAAGAGACAATTGTGTCTAATAGTAAAATACTTGCTCTTCATGTTTAAGTTAAAAACTTGCCAAGACAAATGCACATCCTAGAAATAATAGAAGAGACTGATTCATTACAGGGTGATGAGAACTTCAGATTAAGACTGCTGTGGTATGAACGCCTGAAAATAAAATATGGAAAAGTGAGAATGAGGGGAGTAAAACAAGCCAGTGATAAGTGAAATGAGCTGAATGTGGTGTAGACTATCTGTAGAGAGTATGCACAGAAAAAGTAATGGGCTGAAAGCCTAATTAGCTGGAATAAATAATGTAATCCTTTCAAACGTCACAATAGTACTAACATGAAAACAGGACGATGATTCAAGCTCGATCCTGACGCTGTCGTCAGTAAATTGAAAAACACGGATCTTACCCAGGTTTTGGTCTCGACGCCCAAATGCACCAGAATGGTGAGCAAAGCAATGGTAGTGATGGGAGTTCCCCAAGTAAACAGATCCACGTCTGAGTCAGAGTAGGCCTGGAGGGGTGATAGTGGTGGTGGGGGTTTTGGCAGGAAACCAGAATGAAAACAGAGGAGACAACAAGTAAGTAAACAAAAACAAAATGTTGAGATGAGATGATGGAGTTGAAATCCAGACTCACAAAGTAGGGAATGAAGAAGCAGACCAGACTTTGGTAGAAGGCATCGATCATGTTCATCCAGAACATATATGGTTTATATTCCTGCAAGAACAATCCAAACAATTAGACGTGAGTGCAGCAACATCACTGAAAAACTCAATATTTTCTTAAAAGCTGATCAAATGTTTGGAATTTGTAAGTTTTCTTCATTTTACTAAATAAAGATGCTTAATGTTGAACTGAACAACAGCTTTGTTTTATATTTCTTGTGTCGTAAGTGTTTATGTACAAAAGTAGGTTTAAAATCCTTAAAATTACTGAAAGGATCAAGGATTAAAAAAGTGCTACAGAAATGCGACTGCAGATGTGTTAACGTTATCAGTTAGGCATGAGAAACACCAACATGTTGGTAATGTCATTGTGAGAAGAATATTCAAGTTTGGTGAAAAGTTGTGGTAGATCAATTAGGAAACAAAATGAAAATAATGTTAACATGACCATAAAACATTTCTCTGGAAGACATCTGGTTTGTCCATGTAGAGGACTTAAAAAGCAATTTGCATCAGTTTTTTTCTGATCAGTTTGGTGCAACAAAAATGTGCCTTTTGGAAAAACCACTGCTGTCACTGGCCAAACTACAGAAAAGAGAAATACAATTTAAGTGTGTTAGTGTGCGTTCTCAGGGTGGGACCAGGAAATTTTGAATCAAACAACACAAAGGACTTTGACATTATAAGGAGCAATGTTTCCTCTCATCACTACCAGGGGAACACATTCTCTGAAACACTTGGCTGATGATCAACATGACCATGTGACATTATAATCTAGAGCCTGACCAATATATTGGTAGGACCAATATTTTAGACTGATAAAGACGTTTGGGGACATATCGGTACTGGTGATAACTGCCCCATTAAGCGCCGATATAAACACTTCTAATTTGCACCCCATAAATGCTGTGAACCAGCCGTAATTGGACAATGAATCCAGCAAAAGGCGCATGAAGACTACTTTCAAGTCATGGCCGTTCACTTGAGTTTCACTTTCACATTCAGTACAGACGAAGCAAGGAGCAATACTGTGAAGCATGTTTTACTGAAAAGAGTAACATGGTAAGTTTATTTTAACTGATCTGTAAAATAAAACCAACAATAATAAATTATCTTCAACCCGCTTGTCATTATTTATTTATTTATTAACCTTTATTTAACCAGGCAAATCCCACTGAGCTCTCAGAACTCTTTTGCAAGGGAGGCCTGGGCCTGAAGGCAGCCTAACATGCATGTTTTTGGTCTGTGGGAGGAAACCGGGGGAGTACCCGGAGAAAAGCCAAACAAGCACGAAAAGAACATGCAAACTCCACACAGAAAGACCCCAGGTCTAACCGGGTATTGAATCCAAGACCTTCTTGATGTAAGGCAACAGTGCTAACAACTGAGCCGACGTGCTGCCAAATTAGCTGTTGCCATTAGCTATGTGCCTCTCAAGTTAGCAAACTAACATTTAGATAATCTAGCATGGACTAATAAATCTAACGTACAGGTAAAATAGATCAGTGTTAGTAACGTTATCTTTGTCGTCCTCAATGAAATGCATTGTTTGTCCAAAATCTTTGCTTTTCTGCAAAGAAAAACAAAATACTGCTACGGTCAGTACTAATTAGACCTTCACCATACGTGACTGACTGTTTAAATAATGAACAGGGAAGAGAGTTTCTTTGTTTATATTTTTGTAACTCACAATAACTTTATGGTGAATGGTGGAAGATAGAAAATGTGAATGTACATTAGGAAGACTGTTTTTATAACCAGTACACCACTTGTAAACCTACCGTGGGACTAATTAAAGTGTGGATCTAATTTGCTTAGCTTCATGAATGCTGACTGCTGCGCTAAATAAACAAACCTCGCTCCACTCACTGTTTTCTAAACGTTTTTAGCCATTATATCAGTTATTGGCAGTCGCCTTCCCCTTCCCAATATCAGTATCGACGATAGCCTAAATTTCCATATCGGTCTGGATCCATTATACGGTAATCATCAACAATAACAATGGAGGGTGCCATAGTTGGAGCTGTGTGTGGTGGGTTTCTTGGTCTTATTTTTAAAGCAGAATTTAAAAAGCCCTACAATATATATAAAAAAAGTAGTTACAGAAGCAAAGAATCACATAACAGATCAGTCCACTTTGTGTTGCGCACGTTCAAAGATGAACATGTCATGGTAGCCAATGTCAACGGTGGAGTAGCTTCTACTTTGACAACGTGAATGCAGTTTTATTAGTGGTGGGTGCTGGAAAAACATTCAGTTTGCTCGGTTCATCCTAATCTAAAGCAGACAGAAAAAGTGGAACGCCGATGATGTTCCCTGTCGGTGAGGGATTGGAATAGTGAATGTTTTCAGTTTGGAGAGGAGTGTTTTACTGGACTTGAATTGAACAGGGAATGCAAGTAAACCTTAATGTTTTTGGTGAACAATATTCAAGTGTGTAGGAGTTACACTGACTGTGCATAAGAACAGAAGTAGATCTTAATTTCTCCTGATGCATGCTCAATAATCCAGGTAGAACAATCTAAAAAAGTTAAATCTGGTCCTCTGGACATTCAAAAAACAAAACAAAGCAAAATAGACTGAGGAAGTCTTTCGGATGAAAGACGAAACGTTTCTACATTTTTTTTGTTTGTTTTTTGTTTTGCTTTGTTTTGTTTTTTTGAATGTCCAGAGGACCAGATTTAACTTTTTTAGATAGATCTTAATTTGTTTTTCTTTTTTTGCTTGTCTGAGGTAGAGAAGAGTGACAGATCCTAGCGAGTGGAGGGAGCAATTTTATCCATGACCAGGCACATTGGCAAAACTGGGGTTGGCCAATGGTGGCCTTGGCCAAAAAAGATTAGGCTTCAGCCACCCCAACTATTTGAGAAAACTATACTTTTAAGCACAATAAAAACTAGACAGCATAGTTTCCTCAAATCATGGTGCAATGGTCTACATATATGAATGGCAGTGGCCATATTGGATTTTGAAGTGGCAACCCAATTTCTCAAAATAACCTTTCTTACGCATAAATAATCACATATCTCTGCTGGGGGCAGCACGGTGGCGCAACTGGTAGAGCTGCTGCCTCTCAGCGAGCAGGTCCCTGGTTCAAACCCCAGTCCAGGGGCCTTTCTGGGTGGAGTTTGCATGTTCTCTCCGTGCATGCGTGGGTTTTCTCCGGGTACTCCGGTTTCCTCCCACAGACCAAAAACATGCATGTTAGGCTTACTGGTAACTCTAAATTGTCCCTAGGTGTGAGTTGGGGGTTCGATTCCACCAGCAGTCACATGCCGAAGTGTCCCTGGGTAAGACATTGAACCTCTCATTGCCACTGATGTGTGTCCCATTGGTGTATGAATGTGATAAAACACAGATTATTCTTTGTATAGATCTAGTAGAGTGCTGTATGAATGGGTAAATGAGGGCACAGATTGTGTTGTAAAGCACTTTGAGTATCTTGATTAGATAGAAAGGCACTATATAAGTACAGTCCATTTACCATTTACACACCACAATGGAAGTCAGCACCTCACATATCTTTCAAGTTGTTATGCTCACAACATGCCCTGACTGACAAATGGAGGGTATTTCCAATTTTCCCTCTTCACTCCGCAATGAGACAAAAAAACTCAGGTAAAGCTAATTGTAAGGACTGACAACGGCCATAGTACTGCCAGTAATGTGTGGATTGCTAGTACAAAGTTGTACAATGTTCCAACAGATTTACAATTCATGAAAGTGGCAATATAATCTTCTATGCTGACCAAAGCAAAATATATTTCAAAGAGCTCAGGTTTATGTAAATTATTGTTTTAACTAAAAACATACATGTCAGAAAACTGTGATCTTATCACCTACAAAGAAAACTTAATAGTTGAGAAAACAAACTTTACAACGAAGAAGCTGTGATAATAACTAGGATTCTGTGTTTTAATGTGAGACTGAACCTCAGAGTTTTGTCCGTTCACATAGAGATGAGGTAGTTGTTGGAGCGTCTCTGCTGACACGTCTTTGTCCAGAGTGCCAGTGACGAGTTGTGGGAAAGCAGAGAACATCAGGTTGAAGAAGATGAGATACCACTGGTCGACCATGGCTGAGCCAGAGAAGCCACAGTAGAACTGATACCAGAAGATGAGCGCTACAAACATCTGTGTGAACAAAAAGAATTAACTAAATTGATAAGAGGGAACACCGAGCACAGCTGAGAGGATATGAGGAGAAAAGTGTCTTACGGCATTCTTGTAGAAGAAATAAAGGATCATGTTCGCCAGTCGAGAGTAGCACCAGTGTCCATGCACCAGGAGGAGCTTCTGGAGATACCGGAAACGTGGGAGGGCAAAGTCACTCGCCATCACCGCCTGCAAAACATCAGAGGTGCTCTTTCAGTCTCTTCCTCTTCCTCACTCCTCCTCCTCCCACTGTACACATCTGGAAATAGTTGGAAATGTCTGGTCCTGCTCCACATGCCTGCCTCTTTTTAATCAGTCTTTAATGGGGGCTTATCTTTCCAAAGCAATAACACTTAAATGAGTTGTCTACCTTCTGGGATTCCCTCCTGTAGCTGCAGGAGCGTGTCAGTCCCATCCATCAACATCTAAAACTCTCCCCGTAGATGATCCTGCAGAGCGACTTACATCTTAAAGGGCCCCCGCTAACCCTTAATGACACTCCTCAACTGTCAACATTATCCGTCAACAAGAGAAACAACAGCCATCGCCTCGTTTAGCTTGAGCTGCACTTTAATAAACTCACTTTAATGACTATGTGGGGATTACAATCCTAAAACAGGAAAATTGTGTTGCAAGCCTGAGTGGAGAAATGTGTCTGAGAAAATAAAATTTCCAGAGTTTATAGCCATCTGAATGTGAGCACATTTGACGAATAGTAATTAATCTAGAGTTGGGAGTCAATATGCCAAAGCAACAATGAAGCATCTCCACCACCTCTGAGAGTTCACTCTTTTGGAGAAGGATGTTACTACGAAATGAGCAGAGACGAGGAATAAAAACAAGTACCAACAAGCGATGTCCCCCATTGCTGAGGGAGCTGAATGGTGAATGTTTGTAATTATCATGATGAGTTTTTCAGGTTTTTCTGGACTGGAATTGAACAAGGAATTCAAGTAAACCTTAAAGTTTTTGGTGCAAGATATTCAAGTGAGGAGTTACACTGTGGAGAACAGAGGAAGGTTTTATTTGTTTGTCCCAGGCAGCAGAGCAATGATCCTGGCGAGCAGAGGTAGCAATTTTATATACCATCAGGCACAATGACAGAGACAGGGAGGTGGCCACTGGTGACCATGGCAACCATAGCTTATTCTTTGGCCACCCCAAAGTCCACCCCAATATTTTGAGGAAACTACTTTTAACCATTATAAAAACTAGAAAGCATATTTTCCTCAAATGAAATGGGTGGTCAGATTACATATATATGGGGATGGCCATCTTGGAGTTTGACAGGGCAACCCCATTTTTGATAGGGACCTTTCTTACGCCAAGATGCAGCCACATGTCAAAACGGAAGTTGGTACCTCATTTATGTTTCAAGTTATCCAGCTCAAAACATACACGGACAAACAGTATTTCCAATTTCCCCTCTATGCTCTGCAACAAGGGACAAAAAAAATCCGTCCTACACCAAAGACAACCTTGGCCGTGACCTCTAGGCAGAAAGATGCTGTAAAAAATGCTGAAATATCTAGAAACTGTGCTGCTCCTCTTCAGGACATATGACACGGTCAGCACAATCCAAGCCATCTGAACTGACTCTTAAAGGAGTGAAAAAACAACAAGTACTCTAAATATCGTTTGTTTCCATATTTATACTCATCCTTTGTATTTAATTCATTGTTCACACTTCATGCCTCAAACAGAGCAGTGCGTTTTCAGATCCACTGAGAACCGCCTGGTTTGCTCTCACCTGCATGCCCTCTTGTCCTGAAATCCCCACGCCAACGTCTGCTACCTGGATCATGCTGACATCATTGGCCCCATCACCTGTGATTAATGAGGGTGGAGAGATGAAGAAAATATAACTGGTCAAGAGGGATCAGCCAAAACCCCGAAGGCAGTAAACAGTTACATCAGCAAGTGAGATGATGCTGAGACCATCAAATTTTCACAGAAGTAGAACTATTTTATTGTGTTGATAATAGATGTTATTCTAAAAGTTTACTGTGCGGTGCTGGTCGGTCCTTTGTGTCTGTGTTAACAGAACTAGGACTGCTGATGTGACTAACAAGCACGGTTTGTGATTTTGAAAGTTAGTGTTTCTTCTCATGATGGAGTGGTGGTGCTGGTGGGCAGGAGGAGAGTTCTGGGGTCAAGGCAGCTCAATATCAGAGGTAGGTCATGATGAAGACTCAGATAAATGTTTGTGTAAGCTGCCAGAGATTGTCCCACTTTCACTAAATATATTTAAACAAGCGGTGCATCTGCTGTATGTCTCCCGTTGCTGAGGGACGAGTGTTTTTCTGGGCTGTAATTGAACAGGGAATGTAAGTAAACCTTAATGTTTTTGGTGCGAGACATTCAAGTGGGTAGGAGTTCCACTGTGGAGAAAAACAGAGGTAGGGCTTCTTTTTTTTTTTTTGCTTCAGTGAACAGGGGCATATTTTTCAGGCTGGGCTTATCTATGAGAAGCATATTCTGGTAAATAAATAAATAAACAAATAAATAAATAAGGATATATATAACGTTTGTGTTTTGGGTAAGCTGTGCTCAGCATCTGACCCATTGGGTGAGCAGCACGAAGTAACAACTGGTCGAAAAACTGCTCACATGACAACTTAAACCCCCGGGAGAAAGAACATTTGTTCCCAATGCAAATGATGATTAATAGGATAACCTGCTTCTACTGTTTTTGCACGCGTTTTGTTGTTGCTTAAACAGACTTGCTAATTGCTGCAATAAAAGAGCCAAATAACAACTGATACTATTATGAGAGACAGATGAGGGTTGATGATTCAGATTGATGGTGGAGGTGTAGTAACCTGGCTGCTGTCCACACACAGGTGTAAAGTCAAAGAGACGTGAAATGATTGTTTTCGTTTCATGCGACCGCTAACACAGCACTGATAAAATAAAACCTGGCTTGTACAAAGAGGATTCTCCAGACTGCAGCAGAAACAAACAAATGAAAAACAACAGAGGCGGCTGTAAGTCATGAACATCTCATCTCACCTCTGCTACGCTCCGACGGCGTTAAGCTACACTGTGTGATTACATCAAGGATGGCTTCATGCAACTGCTCACATGGCTATGCTGCGCCTCCATTTAACTTTAATTATGGTTAGCTGCCAAAAGGTGAAAAGCAAGCAAAAATGTTCAAGTTCGAGTTTGTGCTTATCTGTTAGCAAAATATTTCCTGAACAGCTAAATGAATCCTAATAAAACTTTCAAAAAGTGGTAAATGAATGTACTGTACATTTACAATAAATTAACGTTTAAGGTCAACCAAGTTCAACATGGCCACCACAACTAGTCATTCTTAGAAAACAAAAATGGCTATAATTCAGTGGTCTTTATAGATTTTGAGCTTAAATTTGGTGTGGCAGTTGCTGCGAATCATCCTCAATACTTCTCCAAGTGCAAACAGACTGTGCAAGATCGATGCTAAAAAAAATTGAAAATTGGCATTAATGATTGAACTATCTCTTCACTGAGCAAATTTTATTGAATCTCTCAGAAGATAATCATTCAGTCAATCAATAGTTATTTACAATGTTACCACTGAAGGATTTTAAAGAAAAATAAGGTAAATGAATTAAAACAATGGGTCAGAGGCAACAAATGGTAGCATAGATATGTGGTACAAATAATAACAGCTGAAGGGGTTCATTTAGTAACCTTTTAGGTGATTTGGCAACTGGTTAGTAAGAAGGAGAGGGTTGGGCTGATATGTTATGCCGATATAGACGTTCAGGGACCTATCAGTATCTGTGATAATTGTCCCATTATGCAACGATATAAAGCATTTCAAATTTTCACTGCTAAAATGATGGAACCAGCTGTAATTGTATGATGTATTCAGCAGAGGATGCATGATAACTACTTTCAAGTCATGGCCTTAAGTTTCCTTTTTGACATTCATCACAGCCAAAGCAGGGAGCTTTGAGCTGTGTAGCACATTTTGTTGAACAGAGCATGGTAAGTTTATTTTAACTGATCTGTAAAATAAATCAATAATAATAAATTCTCATCAATTCTTCAACCCGCTTGTCATTAGCTACGTACCTCTCAAGTTAGCAAGCTAACGTTTAGATAACCTAGCATAGACTATTGTCATGTAAAACGTTATTCAGAACAATAAATCTAACATAGCAGTAAATATATATCAGTGTTAGTAACGTTATCTTTGTCATCCTTAATGAAATTATTTGTTGGTCTGAAATCCTTTACTTCTCTGCAAAGAAAAATAAAATGCTGCTGTGGTCATTACTAATTAAACCTTCATCAAACGTGACTGTTTAAATAATGAACAGGGAAGGGCGTTTCTTTAATTTAATTTATGTAACACACTTGATAACTTTATGGTGAATAGTGGAGGATAGAAAATGTGAACGTACGTTAGTTAGGAAGACTTTCTATGACCAGTGCACCACCTGTAAACCTACTGTGGGTCTGTGAACAGCGAGGCTCTGATTAGCTTAGCTTCATGGCTGCTAACAGCTGCACTAAATAAACAAGCCCCACTCCACTCACTGTTTTCTTAGTTTCTTGGGGGTGGACAAAGCTCAACAATTTCCAGCCATTGTATCGGCTATCGGCATCCACAAACCCCCCAACATCGATATTGGCGATAAGCCATATTTTCATATTTCAATTTTAAAATCTTGTTCCTCGGTCAAATATTTGGGGAGATTTTGAATAAACTATTTCATTCAACCTTTATTTAGACAGGTAAATCCCATTGAGCCTCGAGGACTCATTTACAAGAGACCTGATTTCAACAAAGAATGATGACAACAATGGACAACAGCAACAACAATAAACAGTTATAAAAAGTCATACAATTTTTTTTTAACAAATAGGATGGCAAAAAAAAAGAAAAAAAGTAGAAAAGACAAATGTAGAAAACTAAAAACAGGAACATGAATGCATTGGTACCTGCCAGGAGTCCAACAGATTCTTAAAGCCACTAAGAGAGGTCAAGGTCGAGAGCTTCAAATCATTTTGTAAGATATTCCAGGAAACAGGAGTGGAGTAGGAGAAGGCCTTTTGCCCAGTTCAGTCCTCACTGAAGGAACACTGCAGGTAATAATGTCCTGAGAGTGCACGCTGTAGCTGCACTCATGCAGAGACATGAAGGATGAGATGTATGAAGGCAGCAGACCAAGAAGTGATTTAAAGATGAAAATGTACCAGTGGGAGAGTCTGCGTGAAGTTAATGATGTCCAGTTAACCAGTGAATACAGGGTGCAGTGGTGGGTACGATAATCACAGCCAGTTATGAATCTTAGTGCACCATGATAGACAGCATCCAACATCTGCAGGGTTCTTGTAGGAGCGTTCATGTAAATAATGTCACCGTAATCAATGGAGGGAAGGAAAGTCACAGATACAAGGCGTTTCCTAGCATTCAGAGTTAGACAGCAGAGTTAGACAAGGTCAGTTTCTGAAAAAGAACTTTAAGTTTCTTTACTAAGTTTTCCACATGGAGCTTAAAAGAGAGATGCGAGTCGACCAAGATACCCAAATATTTATAGGAATCAACAAACTCAATCAGGACACCTTTTTTTTTTTTTTTTTTCATTTAGCCTTTATTTATCCAGGTTAGTCTCATTGAGCCACGAGAACTCATTTTCAAGAGAGACCTGTTTTTCAGGGAGCACATGGTTGGGGTTAAGGGCCTTGCTCATGGGCCCAGAGTGGGGCGAATGAGGGTGGGGACAAGTGTGAGTGTTTCACCTACCCCACCCACAATTTTGATGTCGTCGGGGCCGGGGCGTGAACCGGCGATCTTCGGATCACAAGCCCACCTCTCTAACCTCTGCGCCACCACTCCCCAAGGAGTGGATGGCAATGTGTTTGTTGAAACAGTTCAGGATCTCATGCTTATTTGACACAGGAACATTTGAGGATAAAATCGGAGGAAGAAATGCTGGGACCAACTTCCTATTTGAAAAAAGCATCCCTTTGGTTTTGTCAGCATTTAGGACAAGTTTGAGGTGGAACAAATCTGTCTGGATGATGTTAAATGCAGATTTCAAAAGCTGGAATGCCTTAGCAACAGTTTTAGCTCGACAATAAACAACTGTGTCATCAGCGTAAAAATGTATGGATGCATTAGGGATGTTTTTACCTACATTATGTATGTAGATTGTAAAGAGGGTGGGTCCTAAGACTGAGCCTTGTGGTACACCATTGTTGACTGTTAAATAACTGAAGGAAGTACCATTATGTTGAACACATTGCCTCCAGTCTGAGAGATAGTTGGAGAACCAACCAATGGTGTGTTCTGAGAAACCAATTTCTGAGAGCTTATGACACAAGATGTTATGATCCAGTGTCAAAAGCTTTAGACAGATCTAAGAAAAGTGCAGCACAATAATCATTAGCATCCAGTGCTTCAACAATGTCATTAAGAACCTTCAGTGAAGCAGTGGTTGTGCTGTGTTGTTTCCTGAATCCAGATTGAAGGCGAGGTAAGATGTTAAATGAGTCCAGGTAATTTTTGATTTGAGAGTTTATCAGTTTTTCTAGAACCTTGGCTAAAATGCAGAGTTTAGAGATTGGCTGATAGTTGTTCAGTGAGGTGGGGTCAGCAAAGGAAGAACAAAGGCTGTTTTCCAAGTGTCTGGGATGGAGTTTTGGTTTATGGAGAGATTAAAGATGTGGGTCACTGGGACTGTGATGATATGAGCAGCCAGCCTTAAGAAATAAGGTGGAAGTTCATCACAATTTATTGTAGTGGACTAGGCCCATGTCAAAAACTAAGTCTAAGGTCAAAAATCTTGACCTTAAGAACCTTGTGGGACAGGGACTGTCATTTCATT